ACTTTGCTAACCTGAGCTGCTGCATTTTTTGATATCTTGCTGTCCATAATTATGGACAAATGAAAAAAGTTTGATAACAGATTTGATCAGAAACAATGGATTGGCTATTAAGCATGACAAGATGAGTAACACTGCTTGAGTTATTTGAGCCCATGGCTACATGCCAAAAAAAAAACATGGTTGCTATATAAGTTACAAATAGCAAGGGATGTCAGGAAAAAAGACTGCAAAGGAGACTAGACATGATGAGCTTCGGGACGAAAACTTTTGGGCCACTAATTGGCTGAGGGTAACTCCCTCAGCCAATTAACACTTTGTATTATGATACCTTCGGTATGCGGATGACTTATATTCATCCAATCTCTCCGCTGGGCTCTAACGTGGCATATAGCTTTCACTGACAGAGCTGTGTGTTTGGATACTAAACTATCTAGCATTTCAGTTAATCATTACAATTGTGTAAGATTTTTTGTTTGTTTTAAAGACAACTAAATGTCATCGCATGTCCTTCACAGTAGATATCTAAATGGGATTATAGTGCTTCATGCTGAGAAAATCTTTATCGACCAAAGCTCGTCTTGTGATGTGTTAAAAAACAAAAAACTAAGCAGCTCAAGTATATTTTCACTTAGGGTTTACAAAAAAAGAACTTATCACTGTCTGGTATCATAACTTAAATTTCAATAGTTCAATTCGCGGATAACACAGCTATTTGAAATTGAGCAAATATCGAAAAACTATTACCACCACTTGAAAGAACAGTATAAAATTAGTATGTTTACTAGGTTTGAGCATGATTCGATGAAAATTCAAGGAGATACAGTGTTTAAAAGTCGGCAAAATTTACAAAGAAATGTATGGGCTGTCGGCATAAGATCGAGGTTGACCTTGTTACAACCTCGCCAAACATGCAATATTTAGTGTTTTTGAAGTGCCATATCTCTCAGAATTTAAATTAGATTATTTCCAAACTTGGCAAATTTGCTATTTTTATGAAGCTCTTTCCAGTGATGTCAATGATTTACCATAACAACGTAATTTAAAACTTCAAATTATCCGCGAAATGGTGTATTATAGAACTGTGGCATTACACTTACCCTATAAGCAAAGACCAGGTTGATCATGCCCTCTTTCTCATCCCCTTGTTTGCCGCTGAGTGAGTACCAATCATCAAGTGTTTCTCCACGAAGAACCTCTTCTTTGATGTTCACTAGACCCCAGGCTATCCTCTCATCCATGGAAAATGATCGCTGTGAACAGAAATCAGATGATATCATATGATTTTTTGTTNATTAAATTTACATGTAATTATGATAAAATATGACTTAACTTTGTTCAGGAAATAGTAGTCTAATCATTACAAGATGACAAACAAGAATATTTTCAATAAAATGACTAAATATCATGAGCCTCAAAATTGAAATTTTTGACCCTGCTTTCCAGGCCCAGAAAACTAAAATACTAAATTCCAGTAACTTTCCAGGTTTTCCCTCATGAACCCTGTGAGAGGTGAAGTACCTTACCAAGTCATGAGCTTATTCCACCTTGGATTRGCAGCACCATTGCTGTCTGTTGGTGTTTCAAAYACATGGTTACCAATGGTGATACGACAATATGGGTCCATCCTTGTTAACCCATAATTCTTKGCAAGCTTAGCCTGAAAATRTGTTAACAAAGAAATGGAAATATTTCCTCAGACTGTGCATTAACACTTAATTACATCATCTATTACTTTCTGACACCCTGTGGGAGTCTACATTCAGAAGACAATAGAACTCAGATGTAGAAGTGCTTTGTTAAAAGATGTCTTCATAAAACCAAACTTGACAAAGTATCAAAAAATAGTCATGAAATACAATGCACAATTTAATCGTCTGCATGCTCTATGCCGTTTAAGAGCCGTTTATATGAGCAATTTTTCCTTGACAAATTTTCCTTGATAAGGAAAAATTGCTCGTGTAAATGGAGTAAAATTGACACTTTTTCCTTGTCAAGGAAAAGCCAACATTTTCTTTTCCTTGACTATGAAAAATTGTTAGGGACGAGATTTGCTTGTGTAAATGGACAACAAGGAAAATGTGGCAAGGAAAAATTGTCAAGTAAAACTTGTTGACCATTCACTTGGGCAATTTTTCCTTGTCAAGGAAAAGCCAACATGTTCGCTTGTTTTTGTCAAGTAAAACTTGACACACACGGGCAATTTTTCCTTGTCAAGGAAAACTTGTTCTTCGTTTACACGAGCAAAGAAACATTGTCAAGGAAGAATTGCTCATGTAAACGGCGCCTTAGTCATTATGTTTGTAGATCAGATTCATAAGTAATACGGCCATTTTGTACTGCTACTTTGATTACTACTGAGTTAATATTTAGTATTAATTTTATTTAATTCTAACATGCAATTTTTTCACTGCATGTATTTCAGTGGCAGTAAAAATGTTGGATTAGCACTGATTTTCACCAATGATCAATATTGTGGTTTCTTCAATGTCTGCTGTTTTTGGTAATTAGATAACAATTCATACCTGTACAACAGTGATACTAAGTCTTCCAGTAATTGTGGCTGGAATAAAGGTATTAGGGGGGTAAGCRACTGGTACCATTCCAGGAGCCTGACCAGGATGCGCAGTAAAGCGAAGAAAGTCCTCAGGCAGGTCGCCTGTCATAACTCTATCTCGTCCAGCTGAAATGAAATTTCAAATTTCACGGCTCCTTCACAAGCACTATGTACATAATATGTAATAGTGCTACATAGTCCACATATTCACATGACATATAATATTGTAGACTGGGGGTACCTCCTACATTTTTCAAAACAGACTGTAACAGTTTTCTTCAGTAAACACAGACTGTTATATTGGAAATAGCGTGAACATTTTATTTATCAGAAAGACAGTATGGGGTGCAATTGTTGCCAAAGAATTATAGTGGGGGTTTGCTTTTTTATAATCTTTTTACATTATAAGAAGTGCACTKTTTTGAGTTTGCGCTTTAAATGAGCTAAATACCTCCCATATGGCTGCACATCAAGAAAACATGCATTCAGCATGTATGATGAGCTTAAATGCTGTGGGCATCGAAGCCACAGAAAACAGTAATTCAGAAAAGATCAAGACCACACAGTATGATCATACAGTAGTCAGAAAGTGACGTCCCTTTTATTATACAAAATTTGTGTTATTTATCAGTGYAACACTAATCTTTTTCGATCAATAAATCAAAGTCTTATCACACCTAGGCGAAACAGAGAGTTAGAATTAACAATAAACTACGAAATCGAAAATTTCTGGTCAAATCCAGACCCTATCTAAGACAGCAGAAGTCATGAGCCATCATCTTATTATATCCTAGCATATTTCAGTAGCAAGTGGATTGGAAAAAAAAATTAACTTAAGATTGTCATCTTAATTCATTTTTCAGTCGATAATCATCAATGGTTTAAGCTTAAAGTTAGCTACATAATGTTGTCCAATATTTGAAAATCTGTACAAATGCTTCAATCATATCAGTACTGCAATACAATTTATAAAAGGACAGTCGATCTATAAGCTCAACAGGTTTTAAGGTTTGACAGAACGTGTCGTGCTTGTAGGAAATGAGAAATCGTAGAAAAACAATTAACATAACAATGTGACAAAGCAAATACTCCTAAAATATCCCATTTTAAGTTTGTTATTTTACTTGTGCATCAATTCAATCTGTTTGATGAGTCGTGACGCAGTAAAAACAAGAAGAAATAATTTGTTTTGATCATTCTTACCTCCTTGGGTGGCAGCCATTTTGATATTTGGACTTTTTCCCCTTAGAACATTATAGGTATGGGTARTTTTGGGACCACTTGTTTATGTCCCTCTATGTACCGTGTTCTTTTTCTCGTCAAAACCCCAAAAAATCCCTATATTTTTACTAGGTAAAATTGCCAATGTGTCTAAACGATGTTTTATATATAAAAAATACAAATACATATAATCTTGTGGAATCTGAAAATTATTTTGTGGAGCTCCACATCGAGGCTATCCGGTTGTGACAAAACCTACTAAGTGGACCCTCCATAGTGGAGTTTTGCATTGTCACAGGTTTCCAATCGCTRGAAGGCATTCCCTTGAACATTTCTGCAAAAGAACATCTTCTTACTTAATTTTTCGCAATTCTATAAACCTTGATATCTACAGGTAGGTGCATTACTTTTGTTTTTTCAATGTTTAAGTTCATACGGCTCTATATTTCGTAGTAACTTATCATGCGGCACATTTTGAAGTGAATCAAATTTTGTCATTAGCCACGTGTTCAAATTCATATCCGCCTTAAAATCTCATATTAAATTCTTTAAATTTACTAAATATAGAGTATTTCATAATCCTAATGCAATCTGTCTTCTGTAGCTTAAAATTACAATGTCTAGTGAAAAAGTGAAGATTCTAGTGACAGGAGGGACCGGTTTGGTTGGAAAAGCTATCGCGAAAATTGTAAACACTGAAGAAAATCGGGCAAATGAAGAATGGATTTTTGTATCATCGAAAGATGCTGACTTGACGTACGTATTGCCSTATTTTAGGAATCAGTTAACTACATATCAAAAATATTTGAAATGTTTGCCATTTCTCATTTGCATAATATTATGTGCAGGGGAGGGGTGGGGAAGGAAAATTGACCGTTGTCTCTTTTGAGTACAATTGGACTTTTGCATGAAATCATAATCCGCCATACTGGATGGCATAAGAATGTGAACGACCTCAAAAATAAGAGGAATGCAGCCTGTCAAGCTTGACTTTTCTTTGTTTCGGAACATCCCAGTTTTTACCATCCAGTATTGGCGGACTTTTATTAATACCATGTGACCATTTCATGCAAAAGGCCATTCTGTTCTTTGAGCTAATTATAAGAGCTCGGAGTCAATGGGTCCAAATATTTTTCTGTCTATAATTTAGATCTTCACTTTATAAAGTAATGTGATATATTTCAGGGATTTTGACGCTACCAAAGCACTTTTTGAGAAATATAGTCCGACCTATGTCATCCACCTTGCTGCTATGGTTGGAGGTCTATTCAAAAACCTGAAATATAACTTAGACTTTTGGGTAAGTCCAATGTACATAACATGTACATAAAAGTGAGAAACTGCTGACCAGTATATATTGCTCACAATGAACTAAATCATCTTCAAATGGTAATAGCGCTACACTACAGTTGGTTTACGGATGAGACAAAGCCTCATTTTCAATCAATTCTTCAAAATCATTTATTATTGTAATAATTAGCTATTACCGACTGTGAGTGATCAAAAAAGCAAATTGCATCTRGCAATTGATTTGCAAAGTGCAAATAATCTGCAAGGATTGGGCATCAAGCAACACATTAGCTGGCTATCCATGAGCAAACTATTGGTCTGAGACCCCATGCATAAATGAAAGTTTGGAATCAAGTATTTTAAGTATTTTAAGTATTTTTTAAAAGTATTTTTAAAAGTGCTTTTGCGTGGCATCAACATCACTCATTTACCTTTTACAAATAAGTGCAAGCTTCACCGTTGTTCTGTAGTTCTCTCAGTGGACATCAGACTTGCTATGCTTGCTAGAAGAAACATATATCAGTTGAACTTTCCACTGTTATCCAGATCATATGGTGACTTTGGTATACAAACTGAAACATCAATACTGTCTATAATAACATAATTAGTATATCTATGCAAAAATTGTGTTTTCTTGRTAATTCTTGACAAAACTTTCAATTTGATTTTTTCAAGTGGGTTACAGGTGCAACAGGTTGTAATTCAAGTATCCAAACTTAAAGAAATGCACGTGAACAACCAACACTTAACAAACAAGTGAAATGCTCCATTGCAAATCTTTATCCCTCAGGGATATCTTAGCTCCCTTTTAAATGCAAACATGTAAATTTTTAGACACAACTGAAGATGACTCATAGTCGAAAACGTTTTTCAATGTTTTAATCTCATGATATATTTTCATCCTTGTACATAATAATTAAGGAAATGCAGTATCTTGGTTTATCGATCATAGATTATTGCCTTTAGTGAGAAACTAATTCTCCTTTTTTCTTTCAGAGGATGAATATCAAGATTAATGACAACGTCCTTCATAATGCATACTTGCATAAAGTAAGTAAACCATCAACATAAAACTAAATAAATAAATATTTTACCTGTAGTACTAACTGCATTATACCTAGGGCTYGAGAGTCAATCCTTCAACAGCCATGGAATGAACTTTAACATTACAATGAGAAATCTACAATAAAGTACCAGACTTTAAGAGGGGGGATTGTGCCCTCCCCTGAATCCCCCCCTGACATGGCAAAATGTTACCTGATCAGGTCTTTGGGTGCGCAAAGTTTTCCTGTCCTCTGATATAAAGTGGGAGTTYGAAAAGCACGAGAGAAGCAAGCTTAGAAACACGAGCGTAGCGAAAAAAACTCCCACCGTGTTTATATCAGATGACAGAGACACAAGTGGCCATTTTATATTTCTTTTATAAAATTTTTCGAGTGAAAAGAACATTTTGCCGGTAAGCCGTGTCTCTGTCCTCTGATATAAACATGGTTGTCAGCCAATCAGAGCACGTGTTATGTATCAAAAATTTTATAATGTGTAATAATTCCTTCAGTTTAGTGCTTTTTAGTACCCTTCATACTACTTATACATAAAGTACAGGAGATTCCAATTCAGTTGTATTGATTTACAGGTCAAAAAATGTGTTTCTTGTTTGTCAACGTGTATATTCCCAGACAAGACAACCTATCCAATAGATGAGACAATGGTTCACAATGGTCCACCACATGACTCCAACTTTGGCTATGCATATGCCAAGCGAATGATAGATGTACAGAATAGGTACGTTCTTCCATAGTTACAATCATATTAACGCTGATTTATTTATAGGTTTTTTCCTACAACAAGTCGTAGSTTGTGTACGTCGACTGTTGTAGGCAAGTCGTAGAGTATTTACAGAGTACGATTTGGGACTCATTTGACTCGTTTACCTCATCCCACTTGAGAAAATTGTACGCTATCTAGTAAATCGGACTTTAAGATAATCAGAATGCACTTACAGTGCAAATTGCAAACTGTTATGGCCTACAATTTGAAAGACAGTGTTTATTGTGGAATACTGTCACCTCCCTTGGAATGTTGAAATAAAAAAATGTCAAGATTTTAGGCCCTTAAATACAGAAAAGAAATTTCCAATGATCATGAATTCCTGTACAATATTTAAGGGAGTTTTTCCCATCTTTCCCAAATGTAAGGATGAAGGGTTAATTAGGTATTGTGCAGTGACGCCATTTTGTGCAGCAAAGCATGATGGTAGTTGTAGTCCTCACACTTTATACATGTACCCTAAATACAGTATCTCGGTCCTTAAAAGCCTTTTTTATGCTTTCTTTGTAAAAACGGCAAAACAACATCTCAGAAAAAAAAGAAAAAGTCAGAAGGACTGTTGTAGTGGAAATGAAAACGTACAAGGACTACATACTACAATCATCATTCTTTGCTGCACAAAATGGCGTCACTGAGCCTTTAATTGACTCGAGCTACACATTGATTTATCTTAGAGCATATCATAAACAGCATGGATGTCAGTTTACTAGCGTTATTCCTACCAATGTATATGGTGCACATGATAACTACAACCTTGAAGACTCCCATGTCATCCCTGGTYTGATTCACAAGTGTTACATGGCAATGAGTGAGTCTTTATACCAACATATAATACATTGTAACGCCTGATTACACTTAGTGCCAATTTTTGTCACACATCAAGACCAACAAATTTTTACGGGGATTTTATCACAGCCCTAAATCATGGTAGAAACACGGGTAGAGAGAGAAAGAGAGAGGTTGAGAGAAACATGCTACATTAGGGCTTGACAAAGGGACAGAAAATATTTTGTTGAAATATGAATGATCCAAGGCTGATGTGCAAGCTTCACCGTTGTTCTGTAGTTCTCTCAGTGGACATCAGACTTGCTATGCTTGCTAGAAGAAACATATCAGTTGAACTTTCCACTGTTATCCAGAGCATATGGTGACTTTGGTATACAAACTGAAACATTTAATTTGTAACAACTTCATTTGAGCTATAATTAGTTTGTGATAAATACTATTACTGTTATGAAACCTAGCAGATCGAGCTGTTTTAAATCCTCATACTTTTATCCATTACTTGTCAATTTGAATGACAATCAAACCTCTATCAAGCAGACTTCTCGTTAGCAGGCACCTTCCATTAAGCGATCACTCATGAATTCCTCAAAGTCGATTCTCATGTATATTTATTGTAAAATATGACCTCTATTAACACGATCATCTCTGTCCCCAAGTTGACAGCTTATTAGAGGTTTGACTGTATATTTCAGTTTGTTATGTCTTAGAATTAAACTTTTTAATTTTTCTAATCACAGAAAAAGATGAGCCCCTAGTTGTATGGGGCACAGGAAAACCAAGGCGTCAGTTCATCTATTCACTGGTACGATACAATATCAGAAACCTATAAGGGACTTGAAACGTGTAACGACGTGCCAACCGTTGGAATATTCAAATCTAATTTGTCTTATTCGACCTTATTTGGAACAATTAAATTTACCCTATAGCCAACCAGAACGGACCTTAAATCTCTTATCCAACGGCCGAATTTTCCAAATATGGTCATAACGTTCGTTTTCGAATTTTTAATGAGTTTTGAATATTCCGACGCTTGGTACTAAAGAAATGTACGGGCGTCACACGTTTCAAGTCCCTTATAGGTTTTTGACAATATTCATTATATGTCAACTATGCCTATATATACTCCAACTGTTAAATAACAATAGTTAGAGTTAAAGCATCACGTTTACGGCAAACGGCTAATGGCATAGAGCGGAATTCGTATGACTGTGCAAAAGCACGGATCACAACACAGACACGGCACGGCACGGTCACGGAACCTCGCCTTCTAGGATTCCAAATGAAAATAAAGATTTTCCAATGCATCACAGCTATGGCATGGTATGGACACAGCACGGACGTTCCGTGTTCTTTTGCACAGTCATACAAAATCTGCTCTAGCTGAACCAGTGACCTAGAATTTGTGCCCGACCCTGTGCTTCATTTGAAAGAACTGCTTTTCACGATTATTGCAACTCCAAAATAACCCTCTCTCGCGTTGAAACTGTAACGGTAGCCCCCCAAAGGCAGGTCACATGATCTTTTCTGTCATTTACCGTGAATGTTATGCTTAAGATCTCTAATAGCAGAAAATTTCAGAATGAATAAACATCAAAACTCCAGAATCTCCACAGTGAACTGAATAGTCTCCTTCACAGTTACCTGCGCCATCTTGAAAGGTAGCCGTACCTTGTCATCGAAGCGAGACAACCGTTTAGCGTGCAATGATAGAAACCTTCTTTCACACCTATAGACAATTATTCACAGGTATCTATCATTGCACGCTCAACGGTCGTCTCGCTTCGGTGCAAAGGCACGGCTACCTTTCAAGATGGTGCAGGTATCCATGAAGGAGACTATTGGTGATTTTATTGAATTTTAGGATTTGGCTCGTCTGATGATCTGGGCTCTTAGAGAATATAATGAAATTGACCCTATCATTCTATCAGGTTTGTCATGCTAAAAATAATCAATTATTATTATTTATTTTTGGGTTGATAGATCTAATTCTAAACATGTTGTCCTGTAAAGCTATAGAGTAGTTGAATTGTGGACATTATATGTACTGATTGCTCCCTTCCAAAGTGTGCAGTGTCATTGTATTTTATCTGTAAAAATGAAAACGAAATACTGTACATTCAGCCTTGTGATCTTTTTAGTCTTTTTATAGTATTCCTTTCTCGTTTAAGTTCTTATAATAAGTCCTCTTTCCCTGTAATAATGTTTTTCCAACAGGTGCATAAAGTCAAATAGAGTTAATGTTAGTTGGACTTGAACTCATGGTATTTCTGTTTCATCAACCAAATTAAGCAATTTCTTACCGTTTTTATCCTTCATACCATTGTAACCCTGAGGATGGGCCGATAGGACCGAAAGCTTGGTATATAAATACAAAATTGGTTGATGAAGCAGAATTACCATGAGGTATATAATGTTTTTGTTTTTAAAAAAAGATGCCATCATTCAATTTCAGTCAGTGAGGATGAAGAAATATCCATCAAAGAGGTTGCTGAGCTGGTTGCCAAGGGAATGGGAATGACCAAAGAACTCGTTGTATCCTTTTCGAATTTCTGTCATTTTATTTACCAGACATAGATGTGTATTATAGTAAGTTCTAATTCAGCGTCGGCTTTTTCAAAACACAGTAAGCGTTAATCCAAAGATTACTCCATCCAGTGAGGTTTTAACATTTAGACCAGTATAACCGACATTCGAGCTTAAATTCAACTGGTAAATGGCTAAAATTGCCACTGCACTAAATAAACAGAATCCAGAATCCACGAGATTTCCGGAATCCATTTCCTATGCCCGCATATCGAGGTGTTCCTAGACACTCCGAGAGAGTTTTGGCCAGAGAAATCCAGAAATGAACGCCGTTCTCTTATACAGGCTAGYCTCCTAAACATCCAGAGTTTTCATTCATGCTAGTCACCTCGTTATATAACTTAGCATCGCTACATGATAAAAACTCTGRTGCTCATTTCGATTTGCACACAGTTGTATACAGTTATACCAGGGGCGACCTACCTGGCTATACTGGCAATAACCARTACAAATTTCAAGTATCTGAAAATTATAAGGGATATAGAAGCCGCACTCCAAAATTTTTGRAATTCAGAATCCAGAGTCTTGGAACCCAGAATCCCGCACTTTGGAATTCAAAATCCACCATAGGTCCTTATTCTCTTACCTGGGGCGAAACTGCTGGTACGCCATTTTACAGTTCCCAGCGCCATCTTGAAAGGTAGCGGAGCCTTTGAGATACCTTTTGTTACAGACTCAGCCGCTGTCTTGCTCTGATGCAAASGTTCGGCTCCCTTTCAAGATTACTCTTGGAACTTTGAAATGGAGCATTTGCATTGACAACTGAAATAGACTTCTGAGGCTTTTACGTCATATACCGTATACGCAATGCCTTGTAGGATATGTTTGGGACAGAACATGACGGATTTCTCTTGTTCTCTCTTGATACTGATCCCACAATGTATTGGAAATCAAGTAGTGACGTATAAGGTTCAGAAGTCTAATACAAATAACTGAACACCAATTATACTTCTACAGAAAACTTATTATTCCAGAATATTCGAAGCGATGTAATATTATATTTGAAAGTATGTCCTTGACAAGACTTCAGTTTGACACAACAAAATCAGATGGACAGTTCAAGAAGACTGCCAGTAACGACAAACTCAGGAAACTTAGACCAGATTTCAAGTTTACAGACCCAAGCATTGGTAAAATATACACTTATTGAAAAACTGAATTCCAACAACCTTTTTTTAAATAGCTGTTCTGTCTTTTTAGCCATCAAAGAAAGCTGTCAATGGTTTCTTGATAACTATGAGACGTGTCGCAAATAACCACTGGAGAGTTCAATTGGATTAGTCATACTCAGGCAGTGTAGAAACGAAGTTAGTCTCCTTCGCAGCCAACTCTTTTGCCGGGCTTCCTGTTCAGTTCAACAAAGACAGGAAGCCCGACAAAAGTGTAGGCTGCAAAGAAGACTAAAACGTAGTTCGACGCTATTTATTTAACCTTTATAGGACTATTTTCACTGAAGAGTGAGGAAGTCATTTATCTCGTGAAACAAAATTAAGTATTAACGTGTTAAAGTCGAATAGACGACTCAAAAGAAAACAATGCAAAAGATAAGCGTTTTCATTCAGTTGTAAATTTTCTTGAGAAAACTTGAACAATGCTAAAACGCGTGTTGGAACAATACTCCAATTTCGAGTTYTGGTTTGCTCTGTGTTAGCCTCAAAACCAAGTAACATATTCTTTTGTTTCATTTATAAGCCGAGAAAACGCATGGAATTCGAAAAGAAAGACAATAGAATTGATTTGAAATCTCACACTTTTATTCTCACAATTAGGAATATTTTGCGCACAAATGAGGCTAACACAGAGCATTGGAGAATTCGAAACTGAATTATTCTGAAGTTCCAGGTGATCATATGGTAACTAGGCCTTAACGAAATGTTTATTCCACGACTTTTTTTTACTCTAAACGTAGACGCAGAAATAGGGGTTAGCCACTGTGAAAATAAGCAAACTACGCCGACTGATTCAGTGTTTACAGCTAGCAAAATAACAAATGCACATGCCCCTTACTGCATCCTTCACGAATGACTCGGYCCTCAGCAGTCTAAGAATTGATATATAAAGATAGCACATAATCATTGGCCAATATAGGGGCAGCTGTGCCCACCACAAGGGACGCATTGTAGGGGATGATGGGCTGCCTGCGACATCATTGTCAAAGGTACACATTAAAAAAGAAGAGAAATCTGACCGTTCTTATTACGCTTGTGAGCGATTATTTCCATTACACGTTTGCACTAAAAAATATTGTTTGCTATCATTTCCTATGTAATGACCTCCCAATGGTACTCTGAGAACCAGTAGAAGCGTATAAGGCATGTTCCATTGGACATATACAATAATAGTCAAAGKGTTATGGGGACACTCAAAGCAATTTCCCTCCGGATTTTAAAATATCAAGCGGTAATTGGACGTACTACGGACTTGAGATTTTTCATGCCGTTGTTTGTAGTTGGTCTCAAGCATGTAAACGCGGGTTTATCGCTACTATCCAAAGATGGAGGCTTGATTTGAACCCACTATCCCCCTTTGCAGCCAATAATCCAGTTTCGAATTCTCCAATGCTCTGTGTTAGCTTCATTTGTGCGCAAAATATTCCTAATTGTGAGAATAAAAGTGTGACATTTTAAATAAATTCTATTGTCTTTCTTTTCAAATTCCATGCGTTTTGTCGGGCTGTCATTGAAACAAAAGAATATGTTGCTTGGTTTTGAGGCTAAAAAAGAAGAAACCAGAACTCGAAATCGGAGTATTGCGAGGGCTGGTGCTCAATCCTAATAATTTCTTAGTAAATGAAGTAATGTAATGTGGTATAGTGGTGTTTATTTTCACAATTCATGGANAAAGTGGTAATTGTCACCTCACCGAGTTATACCTGGAAGACAACCAAATAACTGATCAAGGTGTATCATACCTGAGTAATGCACTTCAAAGTGGTAATTGTCACCTCACCGAGTTATACCTGGAAGACAACCAAATAACTGATCAAGGTGCATCATACCTGAGTGATGCACTTCAAAATTGTAATTGCCATCTCACCAAGTTAGATCTGGCGGATAATGAAATAACTGATCAAGGTGTATCATACCTGAGTGATGCACTTAAAAGTGGTAATTGTCACCTCACCGGGTTATACCTTGAATACAACGAAATAGCTGATCAAGGTGCATTATCCCTGAGTGATGCCCTTCAAAGTGGTAATTGCCATCTCACCAAGTTAGATCTGGCGGATAACGAAATAACTGATCAAGGTGAATCATACCTGAGATATGCACTTCAGAGTGATAATTGTCATCTCACCAAGTTACACCTTGGAAGTAATCAAAGAACTGATCAAGGTGCATCATGCCTGACTGATGGACTTAAAAGCGTGAATTGTCACTTCACCAAGTTATACCTGGTAGACAACTAAGTAACTGATCAATAACTGAGTGATGCACTTAAAAGTGGCAAATGTCATCCCATGGAGTTAGACTTGGGAAGTAACCAAATAACTGATCAAAGTGCATCCTACCTGGGTGTGATAACAGTATCTACTGTATAAGAAAGTATAGATAGATAGATAGATAGATAGATAGATAGATAGATAGATAGATAGATAGATAGATAGATAGATAGATAGATAGATAGATAGCTTTATTAAATCCTTTGCAGCCATAAAGCTGGATAACGGACAATTACAAAAAAATAGGCAATAAATATATATATAATAATGTATGAAAAATTAAGGATTGAAAAATTGAATTACTTAAAAAGCTAAGATATAAATATATTGTATATGTTTAAAAATTTGAAAAATGGTTAATACTATTGAATATAATAAAACTTTGTTTAAATCTATTTGTACGACAAATTGGTGTGTTGAATGTTCGCCTCCTCCTGAGGGCTATGTTGGTGGACTTGCGCGGAGGTAATAGGCTATACAGCTTATGGTTACTGTCATCATTAATTTCTTTGAAGAGCTGCTCTGTCAGGTCTTTGCGCCGTTGGTGAAGGGTCGTCATGCTGTGTTCATTAAGAGCTTGCTCATAGTTCAGGGCGGGTGAGATTATCTTAAGAGCTCGTCGCTGAATTGTTTCTAGCTCTTCAGAGAGGTAGCGAGGAAGACCATCATGGAAARTCTGGCACGCATATTCTGTTACAGGTCTGATACAGGTTTTGTAGAAACACATCAGTTGGTCAGGAACGGCGTTAGMACGTTTAAGCTGTCTTAATTGGTAGAGCMTGGATGCACATTTTTTGGTGACGTTCTCAATATGGGCATTCCACTTAAGATTGTTTGAGATTGTAAGGCCTAGGAGCTTTGCACTAGGTACGACCTCAATTGGTTTGTTGTTAATAGTAACTGGTTCCAGGGTGTTTGCGTTTCTCGAGAAATGTATTTGTAGTATAATGTACAGTACATTTTTTGTCAAGTACGTGTATAATGTATAAGTATAATGTACAGTACATTTTTTGTCAAGTACGTGAACGTTAACTGTGTATTAAAAAGTATGTTCTGGATGCTTGCTTTAAAGCTTTTTACATGTGAGTCCATTAATATTATTATCAACATGGGCGACAGTCCTCATTTCCATGCCAGTCCTCAAATTCTTGAATTTGATTTTAATGTCCTAATTCTATTGTTTTATATGGTATAACTAACTCTATATAATGTATTTGATACTAAATAGTACGCTTTTACGGTTTGTACTCTATTAAAGTAACCGGAAATGTATAATTTGTGGAATCTTTATAAGTAAATTAAACACATGCTTTGATTGCGTAAGGACGAGGGTGGTCGCTTACGGGAGAGGAAAAATAATGAAAAGTTCCACAGTTTCAACCCCAAAAGTGGTCGCGGACGCCTACAAAAATGGTCGCCTACGAGAGAGTTTTTTTACAGAGTTTATATGGGAAACAAAACGGGAAATTGAAAAGGTGGTCGCTTATTACGGAAGATGGTCGCTTACGAGAGTGGTCGTTCAAAGAGAGTCAACCGTAGTTGAAATAACAGAAATGATTGGATTTTCTATCAATGCACACGATACCTTTAGGTCGTGCGCTCTCCTATCGACATTTTTGAAAAATAGTTACGTTTATAGTTCAGCCATGTGATTTTTTCAATGATGCAGACTGAGAAAAAGTATATTAAGTTAGAAAGAATTATAAAGATTTTTCCATTTTATGGTTCGTGATGATGTTTTTTCTTTTCATTTTCGTCTTTCCCTATCTCCTTCTTCTTCTCGTTTTCCTCCTTTTTTATTGCTTACAATCTCTCCAATTGTGTATACAAACAAGCTAAAACTTAACGGTGATAAAACTGAACTAGTGGTACTTTCAGCTGCACATCGCCCTTTCTCATCGGAAGTGTCGCTTAATATTCTTGGCTTTGACATTTTATCATCTTCCTCGGCACGAAATATTGGGGTCATTTTTGACAAAACGCTTTCTTTAGAATCCCATATAACAGCAGTATGTAAATCATGCTTTTTCCACATTCACAATATTTGGAAAATACGCAAATGGCTCAGTGTCAGTGCATGTGAAACACTTGTACRTGCATTTATCTCTTCAAAACTAGATTTCTGTAATTCTTTGCTCTATGGTCTTCCTAAGTCTTCTATTAATAAGTTACAACGTGTGCAAAATGCGGCAGCAAGACTAATTTCTTTTTCTTGCAAATGCGATCATATCACGCCTATTCTTTACAACTTGCATTGGCTGCCTGTAGATCAACGCATTGAATATAAAATTCTTTTAATTACTTTTAAGATTCTTTTAAGAATTAAAATGGAATTTCTCCTTCTTATCTTTCTGATCTTATTCAGCCTTATAAACCCTCACGTTCTTTAAGATCTTCATCAGCTAACCTCTTGGTCAAACCATCTTTTAACCTTAAATTATAAAACTCATTAATATTCATAAGGCAAAACACAATAGAAATCATAGCCCATGAAGAGAGTTGTATATTACATACAGATTTCTTGTTCATTTGCATAAACTTTTACTCTGATTTTCTCAGTCAGATTGAATTTTTTTTCAAAAGTTTCTTTAAAACCTGAGCTAATTTACCTTAACGTTTCATAAGTAATATACAATATTCGTGTGCGATCTGTATGAGGTTTAAAACAGCTCGCTTTCAGCTCGCTGTTTTAAATCCTCATACAGATCGCCCGCTCATATTGTATATATTACTTCTATGACAGAAGATCTTTCTCTTTTGCTGCTCCTGAGTTATGGAACTCTATTCCTGAGAATGTCCGTGAATCAAAATCAATTTGTATTTTTAAAAAAGAAATTAAAACTTGGCTTTTTAAGAAAGCATTTTCAATTAAATAATTTTTGAAGTTTTATGATAAAATCATTATTATTGTATTTGTGTATTATGCAAAAAAAAAGTATATATTCATAATTAAACAATATTTAAATTCTTTTTCAAATAAACCTTTTTTTTATATATCTTTTTCATAAATTTTTATAATAGTATTGAATTTTTTATTATTATTATTATTTTTATTATTATTATTATTATTATCTTATTCGTATTTTGCACTACTAAATAATCAATCTTTTTACCTATTAACTGATAATTTAAATTCCATTAATTTTTTATTTGTAGGCCAAATGGACAAAACATTATATTTGAAACTGAAATTTGAAATTGAAATTTGAAATTGAAATTTAAAATTAAAATTGTTTATATTTAATTTATTTTTCTACTCTTTCGAGCTTTCATGAATCATTCTTATTTAAAGCTTTTGTTCCGTTTAGTAAACCTAACAGTTGACATACTGGGTGTCATTATTTATGCCGATCTACACCCACAAAGCATTAGAATTATTGTGTAAGAGAAAATGGAGACTCTGAAGGAGTATTTGATCCCAAAACCATTCAGCAAGTATGGATACATTGTTGCCGTTTTTAATTTACTTACTGGATTTATTGTTGGAGTAATAACCAGTATCAGAACGGCTGAAAGAAGACACTTTAACTGCGAAACTGACAAAGACTTCTTGACAACAAGATGTTTCAACCAATACGAACAAGATTACAATTCTTCTTTACCGCTGTATGGCTTTGCTTGGCTTACTTTTGGTAGTTTGGTTGTTGTTTGTATTATTTATGGCTGGTGTTTAGCGAAATCTCGAGTAGAACAAATCGAACGACACTGCACACCAACTCCTGGCAAACCTCGACCAATTCCAATCAAGACTCGTCGTATTTTCGTGTATTATTTGCTCCAGTTAATAATTCGCTTTGTTCTTGGAATTTCCTTTGTTGTGCTTCAGCAGACAAGGCTCCAAGCGTTTAATTTCCCTTCAAAATTTCAGTGTCCAACGAATTCGAAAGCCACAAAAACTGCAACTGTTGACTTAAAGTGGACATATTCTAATTCTTCAATCTATTTCATGAACTGTGAGAACGCGTTTGCCCGAGAAAAGACTTTTTGGGCAAAATTTGTGTGCATTTTGCACATAATATTTGCATTGCTTGTGTTACTAGAAGCATTGCATGTCGTTGCAAAAGCTTGTATCAATAAGAGCTTTACAAGAGATTCTGACTTTTGGCAAAGGCATCTTTTCAGTAATACAACAATTTCTTTATCTCAAATGGATTTCGGATATG